TACTTTCACTAGATCACCTAATAAACGATCGCCGAAAAGTTACTGAGATCGCGGGATGACTGTGCCTCCTTCCAATCCTTCTCGAAGTAGTTAAGCCTAATTACGCGAATATGCGGATGGTGTTTTGAGCATATTCTTGTAGAGGGAATCAAGTACATCATTTCTAGAAAAAACCCGAACTCAATATTCAAATACTATCGAGAGAAAAAAAGCCGCGAAAAAATCCGCAATAATTATGCATAAACCTAATATAATTATCACCTCACTAAGCCTTTCAATTGAAGTTGATTTATAGGTCCGATCATTCCATGAACTGAATGAATATTTCATACAAGATCCCAAAGTGGAATACATCAATACTATCTACGAAAACGTGGACGACGTCGATTTGTTGGTGGGTGTGCTGGCAGAGCAACCTCTCAAAGGTTCCCTGTTTGGTCCTACTATGGCTTGTATCGCGGGAAAACAGTTCCAACGGGTGAGATAAAACTGGTTGTGAAATATAATTTCTTATCTATTTATTCATTATAGACGCGTCGAGGCGATCGATTCTGGTACGAAAATTATTTTGCGCAATCAGGCTTTAGTGAGAAGCAACTGAACGAAATACGGAAGACAACCTTGGCAGAGATTATCTGCTCTAACACAGACATACAGCGGATTCAAAACAACGTGTTCATGAAAGAAAATATTTTCGAGTTAGTGTCCATCCTTTGCTGTTATTTTTTAACCTTTCGGTTGCAAAGCTGTCAAATCACAGTACGAGGATCACTATATGACTATCTGAAATTAACTCCGAGCATCCCGTTGAGTGACGAGAGCAGACGCGCTAGTCGCTGACGGTGCTCACAGTATCTGAATAAGGTCATAGTCAAGCTGAGAATCCCACCGCGCACTTTCTCGAAATGTGAAAAATTTGAAGTGCTTCGGAATTTAACAGCCCTCATTGCAACAATTTCAGCCGCGCTCCGCCTTGTATTAGGTTGAGTAAAAAATTTTGATCGGCCTCTCAATCTTCACTTCAAAAAGTCTTATTTCCATTGAAAAAGAGGAGCTCAATTAATTATATGGTCTCCATCGTTGTCCTAAACGTACGATTAGCGATCCGGCAGTTTCTTGACTCCTGAAGCCTAGGCCGGTGGCGGCCGCGATTCGAAAAAGCTGGAGATCTCATTTTTGAGTTCCGGGCAATCATCAAAATTTGCATCGCGAGGGTGATGTTTCAGAGCAAGAAACAAACGGTAATCAGTTCGAGCGAGACCTGGTGAATAAGTAGAATGGGGCAGCACTGCCCATTCAAGTTCGGCAATTTACTGACAAAACAATTTCGCAACATGCGGTTAAGCGCTGTCGTGATAAAGGCATTTTCACGCTGCGGACGCTTTCCTCGAACAACGTCGGCCAAACTTTGTAGCTGAGAAGCGTAAATCCCGGAGGTCACGATGGAGCCTTCATTGTGTTATCTAAAGTAGAGCATTTCCTGAGAATGTCCACCGACGACACAGTAAAACCTTCTTCGGACATAGTCCACTTCTCTGCTAGTCTTGGATGTCTTTCGTCATGAGGCACCCGTGAGCTGAGATACGATGACTCCTCTGGATGCACCACAGATATTTGCGACAGCCGCCGGTGGATTATGCCGTTTCGGTATTCGTGATAAACGATAGCACTCAGACAGCTTCGGACGGCAGTTGAAGGTTGGAGTCATTTTTGCGAAGCACTTACAAGGGGATGCTTATATATCCCCTAAAAATACAGGTTATGGATCGGTCTACCATAAACCATTACGAAGTCCTTCCGAGCGGTCCTACGAAAAAATCTAGAAAGGGACGAAGAGTCGATCAAAATTTTTACTGAATCTTATATTAGTCAAAAGAAGATATTCTTCCACATTACTCAATTTGTAGAAACACGTGGTTCAGAACAATAAACAGCTCACTTTCCGGATAAATAACAAACGTTTTAAGGAATATGGCCATCGATTGCCGTTCTTCTGTATTCGCCTCACCGGCAATGATTGAATGGAAAGATCTTGAAGGGCGACCCACTCTTCCAGTGTCAACCGGAACTTTGGAAAAGGTGAATTGTCCTACTGTTCTGTATGAACGCTGTAGCTCTTCAGGCTGCCGCAGATCAGATGACAAGCAAAAATCGTCAATAGTGCATTCATGTGGAAATCAATTCAGGGGACGGAACTTGAAATAGATCGCATCTAAATGTACAGGAGTCTCTCCGGCGCGTGTCGCGTGCCCGGCTGTGTTTTTACGTGATCCCAGAAGGATCAAACATATTGTTTGTTTTTGTTGAAAAGAGAACATGTTTTCGGTCTACCCAACTGCTGGAATCTTACAAAAAAACTTTACTTCATACGAGGGTTTAAAATACACTTTTACAGGGGGTAAAACGAAATAGAACAACTACGCCTTGCCTAGGAAACACCCCACTGCTGAAGGTGCCTATAAGAGTGAAGAGCTTAGGAACATAAACGAACTCCTGAACAAGTCAATCTCCTAACACCAACCACACAATATTTAGGAATAACAGTTAGACGCTCAGAACTCAGAAGAGAGGGTTAGACATGTATTATTGGAGCACACAATAGTGAAATAAGTTCAATTGAGGAGAATCTTCCACATTTGGAAATTGGCCAAGAACCGCGCACGCGACACGCGTCGGTGGGTCCCCAATTACTTCAGATGCGATCCCTGGAATAACGTAGCATTGCAACCGATCTCTATACACATGTGGGATGGAAAGTCGATATCATTGTATGAGTGGAACTATGTTGTCCCTTGTATAGTTCAACCAGCCGCATGGTCCGACCACTTGCTCCTTTGCCAAAGTCGGAATGCACAACGGCCTATCCCTCCTCAATTCCAGTTACTGTTTTTGAAAAAATCGTTACACCCAATCACTTCTAATCGCAATTTCACTCATAGGAACTGCTTAAAATCATGCCGGTGGTACGAATCTACTGACAGTCCTTGAAGCAGAGCGTCTTGTCATATACAGAATGATTTTGGATACCAGATGACATTTACGCTCATTAGGAAGTCACGACCTGATGCTCTGAACTTTTACAATAGCCAAACACGAACAGCCTAATTCTTTTCTTTACTGCGTCCGCTGACGCAGCGACTTCCATATCACGTAGCTGAGCATCCTAATTGCTACCAAGAAGCCGAGCGATTGGGTTGACATTTTAAATAAACACAACAGTTGAGTCATGCTGAGAATAGTAGTCATTGTTGTGAACATTCCAGGTAGTCAATCTTGCTATCCATAATCTCAAAGACCAGCAGAAACGAGAGATATCCAATTTGCGGAAAAGTAAGCTCGACTGTAATGGATATTGAAAACACTCTCCTCAATTTACTGATGCAATCATTTCAGATCAGCACACATTTGTAAAGGGTGATCCCCTATTCGCCTATTCAAACATGATGCGTGCTAAAGTGCAAGCTAAGCAGATCTCGCAGGTGTCGAATATTCTCCTCGAAACCACAAAACTACTGGTCAAAGGGTTGGTGGTCCTTATTCCTCTACGAGTTTGTTACAATTGCCGATCACTATAATTTCAGTGAAGGGTTATCAGAGGATGAGAAACTACCACCGTTGGAACTGGATGTACTGCAGCGAGTACTGCCCGATGTGGACGTCTCCACGTTCGTGAACAACTTCACCGCATTTTTGTCCGATGATGGGCAATCAACCACTGACGAGTGCTTGCCAAAAATGCTTCCATGTGACCATACCACAAAGTTGGTTCATTTCTTTGACACCACAGGAACAGTTACTCACTAAATGGTACAGATCTAGATCTGCGACTAGCTGAGCAATGTTTTAACACCACTAAGAAAGGATCCAAGAAACGTGGTTAGACAGCCATGGGGAGCATTACCATTACCGTTTATAATCCAAATTCACTTATGCTTGACAATGGGCTGTGCTCCATCTGAAATTGCCACGTCTTGCATCGTTCAAGTCCTGAACCTTCATCAACGGTCTCCTTCTTTCATCGACGATTGCCTCTCGAAGCGCAATGGGATGATGGCAGGCAGTTTCTTTTCTTTAAATGAATCTTTTCTGGAATATTTGAACCATTTTTACACCACCATCTATGTATGTGCGCCTTGTTCAAGGGATGAGCAGTATTGTCAGACAAAAGAACGAGACTCATTCGCAATGAGCGGAACTTTTTCGAACATCTTGCAAAACCTCATAATTCACCGCAGTCTATAGCCAGACTCTTGAGGAATCGAGCTCAAACGTAAAACTAATCTCTGTTTGAAGCCCTGCTTATTGTGACGCACGCGGTAGTGTGCAGAGCTCGGCTGGTGCTCTCAGAACTGCATAAGGAGTGAACAGTTAACACTAATAAAAAGAAAAATTAAAGAGTCTTGTGAGTAGTTGTTTATTAATTAAATGTAAGTGATTCGTTTCGCCTCTAAATCAGACGAATCACTTCGCTTTTCACCTACCCCCGAGGCTCGTCGGTGACTAGGGGTAGGTGAAAAACAATTAAAATAAGTGATTAGAGGTATGAATAAATAATAGCATTAGGATAGGAAGTGTATTAAGAAATGTTACTTAACAAAAAGAAATTATAATAAATAATTAGTGGTAGAGAATAGTTGAATAATGAAGTNAAGAAAGAAAAGGATAAGTATAGACAGGAATAAATTAGCATTATAAAACAATAAACCAAAATACGAGTAAATAGTATAATTTCTCTAGACTAGATTATTGTTGGCAGCGCACTAATACAGCAAAAAACTTTGCCCACCCTTCATTTTGGACCATTAGTTTCATTTGCTCCAGGGACTATACCTTTCGGTATTGCGAGTTGATTAGGGGCTTCAACAGATGAGGGAACAGAATTTCGGGAGAGAATAGAATATGCAATATGTTAGAATATGCACTATGAAAGGTGAAGCACAAAATCTGCGCGTTTCGAACTGACCCCTACTCCAATCCCACTGGAACATTACCCTGCTAGCAATCATCCGCAACTTATCCATCCAACATCACTCACCAAAACGTCAAGACACCGCCGATGTACGAGTAGAAAAGCGTAACAGGTTCCGTTCTCTTGCACAATAAGATACAAGATATCACTCATTACATTAGTTATAGCTTTCTGTCACCAACCGTTTGCGATCATGCAACAGCCGATCACATGTCAGGATAGCAACCGTGTTATGCTGAATAGATAACTTTCCGATCCCTTAACTTTTGAATTCGCTCACCTGCTCACATCGCTTTCTTTCACCCCATGGTACACTTTATCAGCAAGGCTACGCTAATAATTCGAACGTCAAAAGGGATCTAGTTTCGCCTGCATTTCCACGAACCCTTTCGATTTGTTAAAAGATCCTGCCACCGAATGCCTACCATTCCGTCATGATCCACCAAAATGTTAGCGACCCTGTAGAAACAAAGGAGATAGAGACGCGAAATTCTCTGCCTTTTAAGATTCTCCAACAACTCTATCACTTACTTAACCGATATTCATTGTTTACCCCATTGTCAGCATTTCTTATAAATTTGAGTGCTATGGGTCCAGGGCAAGCGAGTTATCACTTTCCGGTCAGGCTGCTTTCATAGTTCGACGGCCACCCCGCGAGCGAGCGAGCGAGCACGTCGGCCGGGGGACTACTCGGCCGAGGGTATCGACCAAGATTCAGTTGTAAATAAGGAGCAAGCGCGCTCGCTCGGTCGATCGCGGGCCGGCCGGCGGACTATGAAAGCAGCCACACGTGCAGAGACGTGCGCACACACATACGATATACAAACATTCACACACGCAAACATGCATCTAATAGGCAAATTATAGTAGAATTTCCGAAATAATATTCACTAAAGAGCCTTTGCAGGTACCGTACCCACAGCGGCTGGTGTAANAATCTAAAGTTCCCCGGTTACGCGAATGCGTTTTCGCCACTGCGACATCTGCTGCCGCCGGTCTACGAGGACGGTTTCGATGCGCCACGAAGCCGAGCTAAGAGCGGCAGGCCGTTACCAAATCCACGTAGAGTAGGCGAATCATTTTTCTTATAAGATTCATTCAAACCAGTATAACTACAGAGCGGACCAACTACATTATGTGCAATCAAAATTTCAATTAAAAATAATGCGTATCTTGCAAAGTCGAAACGTATGCATTCTCGATAGCTGTGGCTCGATGTTTTCAGGAAAGAGCGTGCTTGCAAATATGATCATTGTCATCTGGTGTATGCATATCTATGAATAGGCTTCTTTTTGAATGTTTTTACCACAAAATGATTTTAGGTCTCAAACGTTGTCTGTGAAGATCGGGATATCTCTCATGAGAAGTTTACTCATATGGTCATGCAGTTCGGCCAATTGGTCGACCACGAGCTCACTCATTCGCCGACGGCACGAGGGCCGAACGATGAGATTCTGAATTGCACAAGGTGACCAAATATCTGGGTGCTTCGCGCGACTGGGTGCTACACCCGTGGCTCAGCCGCTGGGCAATCAAAGAAAGTCAACGCTCAGTTTGACCTCTCCTCTTCACCAGGACACGAACAATGTCTTGTTGTCTTCAGATGTGACTCACCAGAAACGATATCAGTGCACTGTATGCCAATCAAGGTTGAGTCCGATGACCCATTCTTTCCGACCCATTACCCTAACGGTGAACCGAGATGTCTGCCATTCGCGCGATCGCTGCTTGGACAACTTAATCTTGGTTATCGCAACCAAATCAATCAGGTATTGATTCACGACTCACTAAGATTCTGAATCTTCGAGTCCATAAATCCTTTCATTAGTTGACTTCCTACATCGACGGTTCGGTCATCTACGGCTCCACAGAATGCGAATCGAAACATTTGCGGATGGGAGCACGCGGTCTACTCAATTTCACCGACTTCGGTGAGTCGAATAGTTAATGATAATAGCCGTCTAGTCAGGAATCGCCTTCGTTAATACATCAAGGTTGTGATAGGGTGTCACACAACAACGGAATTCATGTGCTTTATCACACCGAACGTGTGTATGTATGGATGTGGATTATACGTATCCCAAAAAACATCGCCCCATCACTTGGCGAACAGCTGATTGTGTATGGGTTCTAGAACGAATAGATGAATCTGTAATGTCTCGACACTCGTCTGGCGTGACATCGATCGAGGGGCAGAAAAGCATTAGCTCTCCCGCCGTTCGACTTATCGTGAACTGTGCCTTTAATATTGTGTAGGGAAGTGGGTACTCCAAAACTGTGATTTCAATCTGTACCGGCACCGTGTTATGTATGTTTTTACAAAAAATCGGAGGTGATAATGTAGTTGGGAGACCTACGTTTTTTTTTNCCCCCCCCCCCTCCCTGACTACACTTTCTAGCTTCTTCTCTTCGTTTATGTCATCTCACTCAGCGAGAACTACCGTTAACAAATTGGTATATCAGTTTTGAACATAACACGTTAAACTTTTTGGTCTTTTCGCGGGCTGCCTTCCGTGAGTGAACGACCTAATCCTGTGATAAACCAGTTAATTTTCAACAGAATCAAAGGCGGGGGTGTGTCAAGCACACAACTTCAGAATTAATCGCTTAATTTTTTGAATTGATATTCACATGACATATGGCACCGAATTTTAGGGCAGGGACAAGTAATGTTACCGCAAGGGAATCAGGAAAAGGATTGCCGTTCATCTCCACAAAATCCATGCTTTGTCGCTGGTGATGAAAGGTGAGATTCTCAAATTCTTCAATGTTGATGGATGAGATCATTAGCAAGGGAAGGATCCCAAATTGGGAACCAGGGGAACCGGTTTTTCGATATATAGTTGCTGAGTGAGGGGTGGAAGCAATAGTCTTCGGATTTCTAGATTCTGAATGAGGCAATACGCCGGAACGTCGGTTAATAAGAGCTTATCTATCATCTTGATAGCAGTTTTATGCGAAAAAAACTTATAAAATTAATTCAAAGCCATCCAAGATTCATTGAGAGTCGAACATGGATAGTTACGAAGGTAATGCCAGGTGTTTGCCTAAAGTGAACAAACAATAAAGGCGTAAACGCGAGTGGTAGTGGCTCGGAGTAGTACAGTGCGTTTCATAATTATAAGGTCACCCTCGATTTTTGCGAATCTGGAGCAAGCAGCCGGAATGGAATTTTTCGGCAAACACTGGACGATTCCTCATCACAATGTACCTCCGTATTCAAATTTTGGTCGCAATATCCTTCACCTCAAATTTTTTATGAATTTTTTAAGGATAGTGTCGGCCTTTGCACCGTTTCATAATTATAAGGTCACCCTGGGAAAGTAAATGATTTATTAACGTTGATGGTATATGTACAACACTTAATGATCTATAGCTCCTCCTTGTTTAAGAGCAACATCAAAGAGCCTGCATGGCATAGTAGAAAATAAGTTTCGAAAAGTTCCTCATCAATTGCTCTCATGCTTCGATAATAGCCCGCTTCAGCTCTTCTGTGCTCTGGAACTGACGGTTATTCGCATAAACCTGTCCGACATTTATGCCCCAGATATGTTCCATCGGATTGACATCGGGACTGCAGGCTGGCCATGGCAGGACGCTTATTTATTGGCATTGCAGCCACTCATCCGTTGCACG